TAGACTTATTTTTTATCTGGATCTGAAATTTCTTGATTACTAAATAAAATTGTATCTGTCGTTATAAAATTATTCAGTTTCTCTATTCATTTTTCATTTAATCTTGCCAAGTTATATTTTTCTAGGAATTTTTTCATTCATTCAAATCTTCATATTATAAAGTTATTACTATTATTGACTCTTTAATATCTACACATCTGGCATGATGCTGACATTTTCCATCCTAATACTGATAATTTGCCCTTTTGTTATTTGCTTTCTTGTACAGTCTAATCAAAGGTTTGATAACTTTATCTTTTCCATCAATTTTGATTTTCTTAGTTTTCTCTGTTCCATGCTAGCTTCCCACTTTGATAATTTTGTTCTTACTTTAATTTCTTCTTTCTAGTACTATGACTTCTTCTCCTTTTTATAACTTTTTAAACGTTGATGTAATATTTGTACATATTTGTGAGTTATAGGCCAGTAATCCATTATATGCATACATGTGTAATATATGTATAATGATTAAAGAAGGGTGGTTAGCATTTCTTTCTCCTCTAATATTTATCATTTCTATGTGGTGGGATATTACTTCTTAGATGAATTCTTGGCCTACAAATTTTTATTCTTTATTTTTCTAATAGTTATAAATTTCCTAGTAGAAACTTCTTATGGGCATTCTACAATTTATCTACATATATAGGATGTTCATTATTGTTTTGTCTAAAATATTTCTAATTTCCTTTTTGATTCTTTTAAATTGTGAAATGTTATTTCTACCTCTAGTTGTGTTATTCATTTATACCTCGATTTTATTGTGGCAATATTTTGAAACCTTGAAAAAATACTATTGAGACTTACTTTATTAAAATATGCATTGATTTAGAATATGGCCGATTTTTGTTATTGTCTTACATGTGCTTGTAAAAAATGTCAGCTTTATAGTTTTATGCAAAGTTCCACATATGTTCATGAGGTCAAGTTTCTTAATTTTCCCTTTCAACTTAAATCTTCTTTCTGTCCATGTTATCATCTAAACTACTAGGAGAAGTGAGTTAATATCACTGCAATTGTTGATTTTTTTAATTTATCTTTGCTGTTCTGTCATTTTTTCCTTAATATATTTGGAGGTTATGCTATTATGGGCATTTTAAATTTTAAATTTTTCTACCATCCTACTGAATTGAAACTTCAATCATTTATAAAGTGACTACCTCCAGTAATGGTTTGGGTTTTAAAGTCTATTTTGCTTAGTGGACTTTAAATTGCACCAGTATCTATATATTATTTTCAAGTTCTGTTGTTTTCTGTTGTTATTTACCTTTTATATATGAGGGATCTGAGGTATAGTGGTTAAGAAATGAACCTAAGGGTACAAGTGGTAGAGTCAGATAAACCCAAATAGCCTGTCTCCAATGTCTATGTTCCTAAATATCATGCATCTCCTTTATAGTCTTAAAGTCTGCTTAGGCTCCATAGTAGGGGGAAATGCTCTCAATCTAATTTCTACAAAGAATTTCTCATAGATTATTATCCAATTGTTATTTTTTTCCTTGCATAAATTTTCTTGTAATATTCTAAGTAGAATACAAGACACTTTTTAAAAAAGAAAGAAAATATTCTTAATCTATAACTGCATTACTCAACCTCTTTCACTTAAACACAAGGAAAAGGTGTCCGTAAAGTTTTGCTTTTTGTCTTCGAAATAAATATATGCACCAGAAATCTTTATGTGCTTGTACCAACACACAGCCCAAAAGAGCCTGCCAGTCTGCAACGTCATGGAGAGTTCTACATGGTTGTACAGTTCTACTAAGGAAAGCTCATTCCAACTAGACCTCAAGAGAGGATGTGAACTGGACTGCTTCATCTCTCCTTAAATAAACACAAAAATAGTATCTTAACAAAAGAAGCACTAAGCAACTGCTTTATCTCTCCTTGAATAAACACAAATATAGTATCTTTTTTGTAAAGAGAGAGAGAGAGAGAGAGAGAGAGAGAGAGAGAGAGAGAGAATTTTTTTTAGTATTTATTTTTTTTTTAGTTTTCAGCAGACACAACATCTTTGTTTTTGTATGTGGTGCTGAGGATCGAACCCAGGCAGCCCACATGCCAGGCGGGCACGCTACCGCTTGAGCCACATCCCCAGCCCACAAATATAGTATCTTAACAAAAAGAAGCACTAAGCAACTATGTAATCATTCTGGGATCCCATTGCTTGCATATTTCCTAAGTATTAATATTTTATTCAATAATATTTGTAATAATAAATTTTAACCCATGAGAAAATTTAAAATTTCTCAGGATTTTATGATCCTGAGCTAATTTTAACTGATGTACTTTCAACTTTTATGTCAATTTTGACATGTTTATATATGTTCATGTAAGTGTATGTACATATTCACAAACCTAGAAATGCACTGTAACCTTACAGCAGACTCTAACTTGCTTCGTTTAATGTAACATCATATATAAGTTTGTGTGTTTTTAAAAATTCTTTTAAAATATTTTATTTGCTGCATAATATTCTATATGTATACCCAGATTTATCTAATAACTGCTCTCTTGCTGAATGGTTTGGTCAATCTCAAATTCTTTCCCCTATAAACACATAAAATGAACATGTTTATATTAATTTTGTCTTCTTTTTAAATTATTTCATTAACTTAGATTCTTCAAAGTGAAATTGTGAGACACAGCTAGTTAGGCCCTAATATTCATTCTCTTGTTCTTCTGCTGTATTAACAGTAGTATCTGCAGGCTGATAGGGTGTGACTGGAGGGAGTAGGTCCCTGGGGGTGCCTTTTAGCAGAGCTCTCTCTGTTTCTAGATCATCATGTTAGCAGCTTCCCTCCACCACATTCTTTCACCGTGACATTCCGCCTTGCCTTGAGCCCCAACAAATGAAGCTGGTTAAATATGGACTAAGAACTCTGAAACTGTGAGCCCTCAAATAAACTTTCCTCCTATAACATTGTTCTTGTCAGGTCTTTTAGTCACAGCAGCAAAAAAGCTGATGGAAAAAATATGGAAGTGAACTAAAAGGGGTGTGGCATCTTTCAAATGATGTCCTTATTGGGAGGACACATGCTCTTTTCTTACTAAAAGTTCCTTCCTGTTCTTGGAATATGGGCATTATTGCTGGAATATCAATTCTGGATATTCCAAAACACACTAGGCAAAACTCATATGATCAAAGTAGCAGTAAGAGATGAAGGTCCAAGGTCCCTGAAGTCTGCAAACACTTGCTCAGCTGTGAAAAAGCTTTGTAGACTTAACTTAAGAGAAATTCAAGTTTCTCATTTTCACATGGTTATTTTGGATTCCTTGCACCCAAATGTTTTCGAAAGTAAGAGTAGAAGTGTTTCACAGGATGCTTTGGAAATATTTCAGCAATGGGCAAATAGCAATGGGCAAATCACTTCTGGGAAATATAATGAGTCCCCAGTATTATTGAAAGTACCCATTGCCCCATGCTCTTAATATTGTATTATAATTACAAGCTACTTTTTGCCAGTAAGATAGTAATTGGTTATAACTTTGTATTTCTTTTATTTGTTTTTGCACTGAATAATTAATTTCTCATAAATTATTTGTTCTTATATCTTGTTTTTGTTTTGTTTTGTTTTTTGTTTATTTGTTTGTTGGTACCAGGGATTTAACCCAGGGGCAAGGTACCACTGAGCCACATCCCCAGCTCTTTTTGTTTTTAAGACAGGGTCATCGAAATAAATTGCTTAGGGCCTCTTTAAATTGTTGAGGCTGGCCTTGAACTTGTGATCCTTCTATTGCAGCCTCCAGAGTCACTGGGATTATAGGCATGTGCCCTTACACCTGGCTATCATGTTACCTTTTAAATTAAGATATTCGTATCTTTCTTATGTAACAACTCTTTACATTTGATATCTGCCATATTTGTCAGAAGTATTAGTGGCAATTTGTCATTTGTCTTTTAACTGTATTTATCCTAGTGTTTTTACTTGTAGAACTACGGAATTTTTACATGGTAGTTATTCATTTGTGATTTATTCCACTTTTGCTAGCATAAAAGTCCATTATTAAAAACTATCTTTCTTATATATTATTTCACTTTCTATACATATATGGAGACTGATTTCCAAACATTTTAATCATTATTTAAAAATTTAACTATTTATGTTCACAAATGTACCTTGAAGTGCTAGAGACCTAAATCTGAACTACTAAAAAAAAAAAAAAATAATAAGTCCTAGGTCACTATGCAAGAAGATCTCTTTTTCATGATTTGTTTTTAGTTGTGAACAGAAGGAGATTTCCACTAGAGATGATCCTCTTCCGAACAGCAGAACTCCTTACTTCCAGCTTTTCTTGCTGTTATCCACATGACTGTGAGTCAGCCAAAGGATTTTAAAAGGATTTTCAACTCTAGGTCTGTGGTCAGACTTTCAGTTCGTGCTCCCAGAGGATAAAGTTTTGGAAAAGACAAACAAGCATTTCATACGTGCACACACATAGATGCCCATGAAACTTTTCCGCGAGCATATTGGCAAATATTTGTTTGGTCTCAGAAAAATTTCACTTTTGTTTGTGTTTACGGAAACATACCCTGGAATACTTAATAGTCTATGAAAATTTTTCTAAAATGTGTGACCAACCCATTGTGACCCAAAATATTTCTTTGCAGCAGTAACAAAAAAAGGAGCAACAAATGTTTTGTAAAACATTTTTCAGTGGAAAAAAGAAACTTTGGCAACTTCAAGAAAAGTGTGTGTCATTGAAAAAATGAAAAGAAAAGAAATGTTGCTATCATTTTCCAGTGTAGAGACATTACCTACATAATGAGTCTCAAAATTATAATTATAAAGCCAGTTGACAACTGAATATAAAAGACTGTGTAGTATATTTTTATATGCATAAGTTTCGTACATTTTTACTTATAAAGTAAAAATAAGACAAGGCATATAAAGTTCCATTTTCATGAAGTAGCAAATGCAGCAATCACTTTTTAAAGGTACATATTATATTTTTTCTGAGCATACCTTTTTCTTTCCCAGTACAGTACCACAAATCCCTGTTCAGCTTTCAGAATCTTGTAAACTGATTCAAACAGGAATCGTGTCATCAGCAAGAAGAATGCTGAAAAAATAAAAGTAGACCATTAACAGTGTTTCATTTATTAAATATATATTCATATATGTAAATTATACAAACTATAAATATAGATTTACAGATATCATCATAATAAAATTATGATTTATGAAAGAAAAGGCCTTACCTTTCTATTATAAATTTGCCAGAATTAATGTAAAAATGCTTATGTACATGTTATATCATATACAGATATGCTAATTTTCTCAGAACTTGTTCCTCTGGTCTAATTTTAATGAACATATCCTGCAGATACTTCAGGATGGGCTATACTAAGGTAGATTCTTATTTCTTGGAATTATTTATGAGAAGTCTTCAGGTATCTTCTGAGGTCCCTTCCTTGACAACAGGAACACTTTACACAGTCCTTGTTCAGCTCTTTCTCCATGCATCCCCAACTATTGATCACTATGATGCCATTGCTCAGTTCACCTTCAGAAATACTGCCTTACACTGTCTTGAAGAAATACAATTCTGACTTTGTTACCAATTTACCAACTCAGGATAAAAGTGGCCCCTGTCAATCAGTTGAAATTCCCAAAAATCAGACTCATGAAAACAGGGAACCCATCTGTGGTGGGTTCTGGATTGGTCCCTCCTCTAATGTCAATTCAATTCAAGGAAAATTGAGAGATATTTCAATGTTCATTTTTAAAGCATCACTGATTATTACATTTCAATCACACCATTTATAGTATTTGAACAGTTTTACTATCACACTATATGTTCCTGGAACATGACTGGTATATGGGGGATTTTATTCAATCAGAACTTTAGTTAATAAGCACAGAATTCCAAAAGTCAGCATGAACACAAGGAAGAATTCACATTACTTCATTAGTTTACTAACTATTCCATTGGAAAGTATTCCAAAATGAGAAAATGTATCATTAAAAACACCAAACATCAATAATTATGCAGCTAAAGTAAAATAGAGGCTGTCTAAAAAGTGAGCCAATTCAAAAATCCACAATTTTTAATTTAAAATTTTTTACTAAAAAAACTGTCAAACGGGCTGTGGCTGTGGTTCAGTGGTAGAGCATTTGCCTGGCACGTGTCAGGTACAGGGTCCAATCCTCATCACCATATAAAAATAAAATAAAAGTATTGTGTCCACGTACAACTATATATATATATATATATATATATATCCTCAAACCTCAAACTCCACTTTTTTTCAGTTCAATGAAATGTCACATTTGACCAAATGCACAGACTATCATAATTGATGTGTCAGAAATTTTGTCACATTATGTACATAGGTAACAGAAATTCACAGGTGGTGATTTTTACCCACAAGAGGGAGCCTATATGTTTACATTTTCATCCCAGAATTTAAAAAAAACAAATTAAAATATAAAATTCTAAAAATGTTTATTGATACCTGCATCATTATGTCAGGTCAAGTTTTGAGAAAATTGGATCATATTTGACATATTTTTCTAAGTCAGAAATAACAGTATGTCAGAAGATTAGAGAGATAATTAGAAATTCAAAAAATTTCCTACCTATTTTGTTATTTGTTTTATTCACAGAAATGAAGATGTAGTTGCCAAAGCAAGTCTAAGAGAAAACTCCTTTTAGGTGTTAGTAACATTTGTTTTGTAAAATTGACTAGAATTATTATGAGCACTCTGCACCCAAATTTAATTACATAGTAAGGAAATGACATTTCAGTCATCCTCTTATGAGAAAAGTTTTATATAAACCAATAATTTTCTATGCTTTTATGGAACAGAAAACACCTACTTAAAAAATTTTTTAAGATCACCATTCTCTCTAATATCACTTAAAACTTGCTTAGGAAATGTGATAATGAGCATAATATCATAATGAACTTTCCTTTCTTATGTGTGAGAAGTATATTTTTTTCTTAAAACAAACAAAAAACCTAAGGTCAATTCCCTTCTATCCTATAACCTTGTCAGCAATGTCTTAAGGTGCTAAGACTCTGTGTATAAATAAATGTACTCTGAGTTTTGAAAAAAAAAACAAATGAACTCATCTTTAAAAACTATCTCCTTAAAAAAATTGCCATCTATAAAATAATTTTGGCAACTCATACCAACCTAGAGTGATCTGTTCTATCACACTCAGAGACACGGAAATAATGGAGTTGAAAGGGGTCTTGTGACCCTTTGAAACTGTAGGGAAGATGGATGGCAAGAATTCTGTCCCCTCCCAGGATCCTCGGCTCAGTTCCTAGAAAGTATCATATGGCATGGCAGGGAGCTGACGAAGAAGGGGTTAATCACCGCTGCTGATCTTCCTTCTGGAATTCCAAGCTACCCATTAAATCATTGTTTTTTTCTTCCCACTAGGGACGGTGAATCTAATGGACCCAAAATCAATACCTTATAAATGACATAAAAAATATATTCATTTTATGGACTAATGTACCCTGGTGTCTGAATCCTATTTACACCCTGTGCTTTAAAAAGGAACAACAGACCCATTTCTGCCAGTAAAAGGTTACTCAGTCACGCTAGTGACATGCTGCAGAATGCACTGTCATACTAAAGTGCAGCAGGAGGGAAAGATTGGTGGCTGCAAAACCACTATTGTGGAAACTTTAAACATGGTGTGGTGAACTTGTGTTAGGAAACACCACTAGAGAGGAGCATGCAGGTAGCTTCAAAGACTTGAGCCATGTTCTGTGGTGACTTTACATGTCTCTGACTCATCCTCCTGCTTTATAACTTATGTATATTACTTGGAGTTTTTAGTTTATCAAGTATGGCATGATAAATCTAAAACCACGCCTATAATCCCAGCGGCTTCAAATTCGTGGTTTAGTCTCTTCATTCAAATTCTACAATGATTTTCAAAACTGGATTAAAAATACTAATCGGCAGAAAAGCCCACTAAAGTACCAAAGGGACCTTAGCCAAATAGACATAGTGTGAGATCTAGTCATATGAAACCACAGGCAGAGGCAATCTCTGCCAAGACAGAGGGTACTTCATTTATCAGATACCACAGGGAGTCACCGAAACAGGTGACTATAAGTTTGTGTTTATCAACTGAGAAAATGTTGATGAGAAAGTTTTACATTTACACAATATTCTCCAAATTCAGCCTCACCTTGAAAGCCAATTGTATCACTCAGAAAGTATTATGCTTAGGTTTTAAAAATCAATCCTAACTTATACTAAATTTAGTTTGAAAACACCTTATTCTGCCTTCAATATTTTTAAGATATCAGATGAAGAATGACCCTATAAAGCACAAGGATGCCTTCAATGCCAAGATAAAAGTAAGGCAAAGATGGTGCTAAAGAGTTAGAGAGGGGAGAAAAGGAAAGAAAACTAACAGCTAAAGGAAGATCTTCTTGAAAATTCCCACCAGACTTAATTTTTTGTTACAGTAGATACAAATCTAAATAGAGAATAATGAATAAAGAAAAGCAACTTTAAAACAGAGACTTCTTGAGAGAATTCTAGCAACAGGTCGGCATGAGATTTTCTGTTCAGTTTTGGCTTGACATCCATATAGTTATAAAATTACAAAAAAAAAAAAAATACTGTTGTTCTTTATTCCATTTGCCAACCAGAGTCATTTATCCCCTATTAGATAAAGTATAATAGACTCTACGGAAGGGGTCATTGGCCTTCCATTTAATGATATTGCCAGCCCCAATCTGCATTTTCCCGGCAATGTCCCTCAACACGGAATAAATGGCTGATCTCTTCACAATAACAGCTGATTTCTATTTATTAAGCTAAAAAGGTCACCATTTTCTACGGCTGGGCCGCCCTGCACTATTGATAATTTTATGCATAAACAAATGGCAAATTTGTGCCACATAAATATGCATTAGCAATTACTTTTTCCTCGGGCAACGCTCACCGCATGCAAATGTGTACCTCGCAGGGCCTGGTAGCTTTTGTTTTAGCTCTTGAACAGTGAAACAAAAGAGCACAATAAACAATTTTTAAATTGCCAATCAATAAGCAATGCAAATGCAAAGGTAAATGGCAAGGAACTTGCTCAGAAACAACAAAAGTGAGCGAAAAGGGGGATGGTGGAAGGATTTTCTTTTTCATATTATTTCATTTCTTTCTCATTTATAATGAAAAGGCTAAAGTACTCTTGACACAGAACAGCTAGCTAGGCTGGTACCAAAGCAGATGCCAGATGGGGAAAGGAGGAAATATACACATGTTGAGTAAACACACACACACACTAAAAAGAGGGTAAAGGAAAAACTGTGTTCCTATGTGTGATTTCAGAGACATCACCTTGTCAGATTTCTGATTTCCAATTTCAGAGATTCAAAGAAGTTTCAGTTTCAGCGATTAAGAAGAATTTTAAAACTAGGAGGAGCTACAGAGATATATAACCACTGCACTTTGCTCTGCTGCTTTTCAATAACATCAGCCACGAGGAATACACATCGCTAATAATTAGCATACTATTAAAAGCACAAGAAAAGGGGATAAATGAGAACCAGGCACAGTGGCCTATAATCCCAGTGGCTCAGAAGGCTGAGGCAGGAGGATCGAGAGTTCAAAGCCAGCCTCAGCAAAAGCGAGTAACTCAGTGAGACCCTGTCTCTAAATACAAAATAGGGTCGGGGACGTGGCTCAGTGGTCAAGTGCCACTGAGTTCAGTCTCTGGTACCAAAAAAAGAAAAAGGGGTAAATGAGAAATATTTAAGTAGGAAGCAAAAAGCACCTGCAAGCATCGCCACTTCCTCATACTACAAAATGTTCAGGATCAAATACCTGATCTCAGGAAAATTTAAGAATGATGTCCAGGCACTGGATAAAAAGATAAAGGAAAGAGACAACAGGTATAAGAAATGTAGGACACAAAGAGTTCCCTAATTTGAAAATAGGAACAAATGATAGCTCAAGATAAAAGCTGACTGTTTTGTCAAGAATGAACCTTAAGAGATTTTCTTTTTTTTTTTTTTTTTGATAACGCTGTGTTCCATGCACTTTTCTAAGGGCTTTGCACTTATATCTATCACACTTCATCTTCGC